GGGGGAGGGGGAGGAGGAGGAGGAGGGGATCGAGAAGGAAAGAGCAGCTGAACACCCGCCCGACGCGAAGCGCACCCGCCCGAGCGCAACGCTGAGGCTGCCCGATCGAGGCGAGTTGCGCTCGACGATAGCGTGATTCGCAGGGGGGAATGCGCGGGCCAAGCGTGTAGCCAGGGAGCCAAAGACGCGAGCCGCATCGCATCCGATCGGAGCCAATCGCGGTGCCAATCGTGGAAATCGCGCCGAATCGCGCCAAATCGAAATCGAAATCGAAATCGAAATCGCCCATCGCCGAATTGGGAGAATTGAAATCGAACTTTGGTGCCGCGGCGGGCAGAGTGCATCGGCGGCGGTGAGAGCGCTGCATCTGGTCCGAGCTCCTGAAAATTCGTCAGATTCCGATTCGCAACCCCCGAGGCAGGCGCGCGCTCTCACGCTCCTACAGTACGCTCCTGCATGCCAGTCTCCGAAAAAGGAGGGTTGCGGTGCCGATCGGGTGCGGGCCGAGCAGAGAAGGAAAGAGCGCAGCGAGGCGTGAGAAGAAAACTGTGATTCATCGGCGATGCGTTGGAGCCGTGGATGGGCGGTCTCGGGCCAGCCGACGCCTTGCCTTGCTCCCACGCCTTGCTCCTCCCGATTGGGACTGGGCGGTCTTTCGCGCTCGGAAGCGCGCCGATGGGATCCTGGATCGCAAATCGCACGGGCCGCACACAGCGGCGCCCCTCCGACGCCAAAGTAAAGTTAAGCTTTGACGCGACTCACGGCCCCTACTTTTGGCCCCCTGACCAGCGCGCCAAAAAAGAATGCAGCCAAGGCAGGGCTGTGCTGGGGGTTGTTGCTCTCTCGTTGGATGTGCATTCGCCTCGCATCGCCGCCGCTCGGACCGTCCGACGCGCAGCTGCAGCGCACCATGCCGCCTCAGTCACAATCACAATGTTGCAATGCCGCCTCGGGTGTGCCGTGCGGACGAGAATGCGCAAAAAAGCCGTCCGTTTGGTAGAAAAACACACACAAAAGAACCCTATTTTTTGGAGCAAGGGTGGTGCAGTGCTGCGCTGTGAAATTGGAGTTCGTGCGGGTGCGGTTGGGGCGGTTGGGCCGTTGGGCGGTGCCAGCCTGTCAACGCGACTCGCAGCTGCCAACGCCCGCTCCTCCTCCTCTTTCCACATCTACATCGTCGCGCCTCGTCCCTGCTCCATCATCGTCATCATCATCATCGTCCCCATCACCACCACCACTCACGAATCGTCACGACTCTATCACAGCGTCCAAGCAATGCATCGCTGAGCCTTCGTCTGGCAAGCCGTCGCGTCGCGCTTCACTCCAGCCATGGAGGATCCACTCGACACCGCCGCCGCAAAGAAGAAACCCGCCTTTGCATTCTGGGACAGGCAGCGCAAGGACAGCCATTCCACCTCGCCCACAATGCAGCGCTCCTCCTCGTCCCACCACTCGGCCCAACCAGCTGCTGCCAACACAGGCCTCAGCGGCGTGCAGCGACTCATCCAGCAGTACTCGCAGTCCAGTCAAACCGCCGCTTCCTCCTCTTCATCCTCGGCACTCTCTCCCGAGCGACCCAGCTCCACCTCCGGGCCCTCGCCTAGCTCCTCGCGCGTCTCGCCTTCGCCCATCCCACCCGCTTCCTCTGCCTCCACCTCGAGCCAAACTCTCGACCTGCTCTCCAACGCCGACACCACCAAACAGGCAGAAGCGGAAAAGGCAAAAAGGCGTCGTCGCTTGCTCCAAGACCAGCTCCGCAAACGCAACTACAACAGGCGCTCCTCCGGCCCCATCGACATCAACAGCAACTCGGCCACACTCTTATCCGATGATGATGACGAAGAAGAAGAAGAAGATGCGCGCATCGCCTCTGAGTCCGACTCCAATCCACCATCCGGAAGCGCACCCGACTCCGACGCCTTCCACGACGCCAGCTCGCGTCTCGTTACTCCCGTCAAACCGCCGCCCTCCACCGCCATTCAATCGGGACCTCGTGGTGCGCCAAACGCACCCCCAAGGCAGTCGTTGGAAGACACGCGTCCCTGGCTCGAGTTCAGCCCTCTGCTCCCGGATTCGGAGCTGCTCGAGAGCCCGGGCAAGCAGGCCACCCCCAGCTTCGCTCTCCTCCATCGCTCCACCCCCTCCGAGCTCAGCACTCCCACCAGCCGCAGCAGCTCAACCACCGATCCACCACTTCTCACATCCAGCGCACGCCCTTCCCCCTCGCGCTCCAACTCGGCTTCCATGCATGCTTCCGACTCTCCCGCCTCTCCCACCGGCCTCGGCTTGGCCGCCGCCACTTCCTACCTCTCCCTCAATTCGCCCACCCACTCCTCGCACCCACGTGCCTATCGCAACACAAAGCTGCCACCACCAAGGCCGTCTCCACAGGCGCCCCTGCCTCCGCCTCCTTCCGAGGCCTCTTTCACGCATCCATCCCCACAGCCGCATGCCTACTCGTCTCGCTCCGCCGCAAGGCCCGCTCCGCCCATCGCTCTCAGCAACGACGACGGCGACGTCTTTGGTGGCCAGACGCTGCGTTCCAGGAGTTACAGCCTCGAACAAGAAGTCGCCTCGGCCGATGCACAACAACACCAGCATCAGCAGCAACCCATTCCACCACCAGATAGCGCACAAACACATCCATCAGCAGCATCGTCGTCGTCGCCGTCGTCATCGTTGGCAGTGCCCATCATTCGTCAGCGCAGCAACTCGCTTCAACGCACACAGCCCGACGACAGCGCCTCCGCTTCCAGACCGCCAACGTCTGCCTCCTCCAGCTCGACAAAGTCGATAGGCGCCGGCAGACCCAGGGGCTTCACCGTAGGCGCTGTGCCCGCTCCCCCGCCCTCCCTTCGTGGCGGCGCTCCCTCGTCTGCACCCAACAAGTCCAGACCCAGATCGCTCCTCTCCAACGAAATCTTGCCGCTCGATCTCGCAGAGCCCAAGTACGCTTCCTCCACCGACGCACGCAAAGCGCTCAGCATGGACGTTGACCGTCGCACCGCCCCCAACAGAGCATTTACATCCGCCAGCCTCAGCCGCGGTCCCTCGGCCACCTCGCAGGCCGAACGCGATGCAGCTTTGTCCTCCGCTACCACCAGCACCGATCGACTCCAACCCGACTCCACAGAGCGCCGTCCAAGCGCAGGAGGCAGGAGCCGCAGCGGGAGCAGCGCAAGCCTCCTGCAGCAGGTCAACTCGCAGCCCAAATCGCACGCCAGCTTCGTCATCGCCGTCGTCGGCCACGCGCAGTCGGGCAAGTCCACCGTGATCAAGAAGGGCCTGCGCCAATTCGGACTCTCCAAACCGCACGTGCTCTCCGAAAAGGTCACCTCCCACTCCACCGTCTGCGTCGTCGACCAGGAGCAGAGGACCATCGAGGTGCTCGAGATCGACGCATCGGTGCTGCTCAACGGGCCCAGCAAGCGATTCGCCTGGCCCAAGTTCCTCCCGCACATCGACGCCGTCATCCTCTGCTACGACGCCGCCGAGATCGCCTCGTTCCGCGGCATGTCGGAGCTGCTCGAAAACTTTGCCGTCGCCAACCTCAGCACCGTCATGCTCGCCTGCAAGTCCGAGGTGCATCCCAAGGCCGTCGACCCCTACTACGCCAGCGACATGGCGTGCATCTACAACGTCGGCCTCGCAGAGTGCACCGTACAGAGCGAGGAAGGCAAGAAGCGCATGCGCGACTGCTTCTCCTACCTCGTCAAAGAAGTCGCCAAAGTGAGAAGCGGTCGATCGCGCCGCGGCACCGCCAGCACCGTCCCTGTGGTGCCAGCCGCAGCGCCGCAAACGCCGTCGCAGCCCCTCAGCTCACCCACCCAGCCGACCATGCCGAGCCGCACCGCCTCGGCCACCTCCCACGCGAGTTCGCAGGCGGACCCAGCCGACGCAGCTCACGCAGCCTCGCTCTCGCCCGTCGTGTCAGCAGATCCGCGCGCAAGGGGCTACAGCAATGCCAGCTCGAGCGCAACACGCATCACCACCGGCGGGGGCGAGTCGCCGGGCCTTCAGTCGACCTTCCCTTCCGATGTCAAACGCGATCTCGCCTCGGATGCGTCCGCGTCCGCTGCGGCGAGTCACGATTCGCGCTTGAGCCTGCGCAAGATGAGCAGCGCCACCGCCGGATCCTCCACCTCGGACGTACCCTCTTTGCAGTCGCACGATGAGCTTGGGCTGCACGACAGCCTGCATCGTGCGCAGATGGGCCTGCAGAATGCGCGCGCCACCGGAGGCTACGTGTCGATCGAAGAGCTGTGGGACAAGCTCTTCCACGCCGCCATCTCGCGCACCGACGAGCGCTTCGTCACCATGTTCATGGTCTTCTACCGCGGATTCGCCACGCCCCTCGACCTGCTTCGGCAGATGATGGAGCGCTTCGACACGCTCACCGCCGAGGACGTCGCCGACGGCTTAGTGCATCGATTCGCGCTCATTCGCCTCACGAGCATGCTCGGCGACTGGGTGCTCGACTATCCCGGCGACCTGAGCAATGCCGAGACGCATGCGCTGCTGCTCCGATACCACCACCGGCTGCTCCACCATCCCGACACCGTGCACACCGCCACGCAGATTCAGAACGCGGTCGAGGCGACCGCTCGAGCGCCCGACCTGGACGCGCTTTGGAGCAAGGCGGTCAACAGCGATCAGACGCGCCACAAGGGAGCCAGCGCGATCGCGGGCGACGTCGACGGTGGCCTGTCGGCCAGCCACTCGAGCAGCAGCCACCTCGCCCCGGCAACGGCGTCGGGCAACACGAGCCACGACATGCTGGATGGCGACGCGCTCGGCGCCGCGCACGACCGGTCCGACACGCACGAGAGGACGGGATCCGAGAGCAGCCTGGTCATGCCGTCGGACGCGGGCGTGGGAGGGCGCTCGCGCAGCGCGTCGGATCTCACCACGTCGTCGACGGAAGCACCGGCGGCGCTGCTCGGCTCAGACGACCGCGCGGGTGCGTCCGTGTCGAGTGGCGTGAGCAGCGTGAGCGCGCAGACGCAGACGTCGGCGGGCGGCAGCACCACAGCGAGCGGCACAGCAACGCAGGCGTCGGTGTCGTCGACGAGCACCGAGGCGTTGGCGAGCACGACGGGGCGTGCGCTCGACCAGAAGGCGGTGCTGCGCAGCATCTCGAACACGCTCATGGAGGTGGACGACGAGGTGATCGCCACGGAGCTCACGCGGCTCGAGTGGGCGTACTTTACGGCGATCCAGCCGCGCGACCTGCTGCGCCACATCCTCGTGCCGCACGACAAGCGCGACGGGCCGGTGTCGCGCTCCATCTCGCACTTCAACTACATGTCCAACTGGGTGTGCTCGATGATCCTGGCGCAGGGCAAGACGAAGCATCGCGCACGGATGCTCGAGAAGTTTTTCAACATTGCGTCGATCCTGCGGCACGACAACAACTACGGCTCGCTCAACAGCGTGCTTGGTGGCCTGAGCAAGACGGCGGTGCATCGGCTGAAGCATACGCGCGAGCTGCTCAAGGGCAAGGCGGTGAACAAGGCGTACCAGAGCCTGGTGCGGCTCATGTCGAACGAGCGCTCGTCGGCAGCGTACAGGTTGGCGCTGGAGAACTCGGAGGGGCCGACGATCCCGTATGTGGGCGTGCATCTGCAGGACATCCTGTCGATTTCGGATGGCAACCCATCCAAGCGGGCGGCGGACGGGATGATCCACTGGCGCAAGTTCTCGCTCATGGACGAGGCGGTCATGGCGGTGGCGCGGTGTCAGCAGTACGACCGCTACATCAAGCCGAATGCGGCGGTGGAGAGGTTGATCGTCGATGTGCCCGTCATGGACGACGAGGCGCTGTACGAACGCTCGCTCATGGTCGAGCCGCGCGCCAGTGCAGGCCCCGTGGCGGCGAGCAAGATCAAGGACCTCAAGACGTTTCTGTCCAACCAGACGTACTCGAGCAGCTCCTTCCATGCGTAGGCGTCGGCAATCCAGGCATGCGCTCGCACAACCCTGGTGCATGTGTGCAGGTGAGCGAGATGAGAGAATGATTGCACTGTGCGGGCAAGAGGAGGATGAAAGTGGTGGGGGACAGTATCGGTGTTTGGATGAGCAACTCGACCGAGGCCATGGTTGCGCTCATGCATGTTGGGATGTGTGGACACTGGTGCTCTCGTCCCGACAGGCGGGGGGTTGATGAGCTCAAGCTGTTGCATTGATGGTGTGTGATGGCAATCGGGGCATGCGTGATTGTGGCGGGGATGGGGGGATGCTACTTGAGTTTCAGATGGACCTTTTCGATGAACGGGGCCAGATCGGCCTTGCGCACATGGATGGCGGCGGTCTGGAAGCGGTCATGCCTGACTCTTGCGCCGCTCAGCTTGGCGGCCTGCTGAAACGCCGCTGTGAAATGGTTGGCCTCCGTCATGCCATGCACGGGCGCGGCGGTGGAGCCCAAGACGACGAAAATGTCCTTGGCCGGGTAAAGCGCAGCGATGATAAAGGGCAGTGGCGTATAGGGGTTTCCTTTGCGCTTGGGCAGATTCGCCTGTTGCTCCACAATGATATCGCGCAAAGCGGTTGAGAGCCAGCGGGCGAGTTGGGCGAGAATCTCAACGTGCGTGAAAAGCTCGAGATCCGCGCCGTCCTTGAGAATGGCGAGACGGAAGTTCTTGAGTGTACGAATGGCTTGGTTGGTGATCAAACCCATGCCGCGTGCGACGATGCGACGATGCAGAGCCTGAGAGAGCAGCAGCGAGGAGCGGAGGAGGTGGATGGAGGTGGAGCGGTGAGTGTCGAGGGCACGGTAGGCTTCGTGGAAGTTGTTGACCCACACATGGCGTTCCGCCTGCTCGAGCTGCACCAGCTCATCCCCACTTGCGCGTCCACTGCTAACGGGCTCGAGGTCGAGTCCCGAATTGGCGCCCGTGGCGTCGCGTGCAGTGCTCGAGGTGGCAGCGGTGGCGGCAGAGACGGCATCGGTAAGGTGGGTGCCCAGATTCCACGCGCGCTTGGTGGCGAATAGCTCCGAAGTTGCAGGTCCCCCACCGCGATTGGCGGCATAGCTGGTGGATAACGGCGTGCCGGCACTGGCCGAAGCAAACACCATGCCGGGCGTCTCGACTTCGATCTTGACGCCGTGCGCGGCGACGAGGAGCGCCGAAATGCCCTCGACCACATCGGCCGCCCCCAGCGGCGCGGTCTGAAATCCATACGACCGCTCAAAGCCGCGATAGCTGAGCTCGGTCAGGCCGTACTCGGGTGCGATGGCATCGAGCTTGACCGCCAGGCTGCGACGCAGGTCGAGGGGCATGTGCGTATAGTTCTGGCGCACGGCGGTGAGGGAGAAGCCCATCTTGGCCATGAGGCCGCGCAGCTTGGCCTGCCCGCGTTCGCGCCAGAAGCCGAGCTTGGCGGCAACGTAGGCGGTGTGCAACATGGCCGTCTCGAGGCTCCAGTGGCGGTAGAGCGTGAAGCGGAGCTCGGCGGGGATGATGCGGATGGTGCGGTCGTCGGCGTCCTCGCTCTTGGTATTGTGCGCGATGCCTGCGCGCAGTGCGCGATCGCCCCGAGGCGCAGCTTTGTCGGCAGAGTCGTCTTTGGCGAGGAGGTCGAGAGACCATGCTTCGGAGCGAGGATGCGAGGTGGAAGGCTCGATGGCGATGACTTCCGAGGCGTAGGCGGACGAGTAGGCTTCGTACGTCTCAAAGTCGATGGCGTGCGAGAGGTAGAGCGAGGTGAGGCCGACGATGGCGAGCCAGAGAGACTCGCGGTCGGCGCGGCCGAGCGATTCGCACAGGAGATAGAGCATGGAGGAGGTCGACATGCCGTAGCTCTCGCCGCGGTTGTAGTAGCGCGTGAGGAGGGTGCGGTAGCGGTGGCGCTCGGCATTGGTCAGCCGCGCAGAGGCGGGGTGGTGCGAAGGGTGGCGTCGGCGCTTGCGCGCTGCATTGGCCAGGTCGGCATCGCTGGCGTCAGCGTCGGCCGAGGCGGAGCGCGAAGGCGAGCGAGAGGAGCGCTTGCGCTTGCCTGCATCGCCGGGCGCATCGCTGTCGGAACCACTCGCGTCCGAGTGCGACTCGTCGCCGCTGTCGTCGTTGTCATCGTCGTCGTCCGAGTCGATGTCGAACTCGAGCTTTTCGAATGCGTCGCGCTCGCCACCCTGGCGGCACAGCTTGGTGGCAATGTCGCCGTCGTCCCAGCACCACACGCGGTCGTTGGCATGGCTGGTGGCGAAGAGGTTGTCCAGATTCCACGGGCGGTGCGAGTCGATCACATGCAGCGTACAGCTCGGCGGGATGTTGAACATGGTCGGCAGACTCAGCACCGCGCCGAGATTGATGAGCACGACGGAGCGCACGTCGGTCGTCGTCGCTGCCGCTGCTGCCGCTGCTGCCGCTGCCGCCGTTGAGGTCGAGGCTACATTCGCCGCTGCGTCATCATCGTCGGTGAGCGGGGGGAAGACGTCGGCGAGCGTGTTGGTGAGGGAGCGGTAGCCGTCTACGGGCACGATGCGGTGCGGGATGTCATCCTGGAGAAAGAGGGATGCGAGCATGCGCGTCGCACACACCGCATCCACGTCGGGCGAGCTGAGCACCAGC